TAACATATTATATTATTAGAGATTTCTTTGAATTATATTTTGAAATATTATAATTAATTATTCTTTTAATATACTATTTTTATCATTGTACATTCTCATCAATTAGTTTTATCAAATATAATTTATTTATCAGCTAACTTATAAATAAACAGTTAATTTACGAGCTACAATTACATTTAATTAGCGAGAAAACCGAAGTTGACCGAAAGAAAAGATAAAAAGACAAAGAGGTATGTTTCGAGTTTGGGGAAAAGGCATTGGGTACATGTGATTCAGCAGAGCTGTTTGGTTGATCATCATCACATGCTTCTATCTTTCCGTCTTTTCCACGAACCTTCCCCCAAACTCATCTTCTTTTTCCTTATAAACCGTCATTTCTCAGCTTAATCTGCTTCTTTTTCATCTTAATTTTGTTTCATCAGATCTCAACTCAACAGGCTCCATTTCCATCCAATGGCTGGTATGCTGCCTGGTGTCGAAACTGCAAGGAGGAGGAGGTTACGTTCGTCGTCTGTTATCGCTTCTGGTTTTGGATCGATCAGTAGTAGACTCTCTCATGATACCCATTTCATCGATACTCTCTTCTTGGTAAGCACGAATCCCACAAGACACTGTTTCAGTTTCGATCTGTGGGGCAAAATTGTAATAATCTCGATTATTTTGGGTTTTTTTCCCCAGCAAAGAAATCAATCTGATGATGAAGATGACAAGTTAGGAGGAGCAGCAAAAGAAGCTAAAGAGAGGCTGAATGGGAGGCTGAGAGGCCATTTGAAATCCGAAATCAGAAGGTATGTAGGGTTCCAAATTGTTAATGTGCATTTTAGCATATTGCTCTTGTCTTTGCTAACATGCTTTAATGATATCCCCCCACCCCACTCCCAAAAAAAGAACCCAAAATAAAAAAACATTTATTTTCAAGAACAAAAGGGTATGTCTTTCTCTCGTTGGCCCGATTATCAAAAATGGAAATGCAGCTTTTCTTGCTGTCCTGCGTACTTTAGCAAGTCATGCCTACACTTGCTAACATGCACCGGACGTAGAACCGAACGTAGTTTTTCTTGACACCCACCAGAAAGCTATGATTTTCTGATTTGGGTTTCCGTTTACGTGATCGAATTGTGTAGGCAAAACAGTCAAGAAAGAGTTGGAGGTGTGTGGAGAAGGTCGAATGCTACTACTACTTCCATGGTGATGCAAGATTTGCGAATGGAGGTTTTTGGATTGAAAAAGAGTGGATCAAAGAGGTTTGGTTGGGGAAGAATTGGGTCGAGTTGGAAGTCGTCGAACCAAGACGAGTGCGCAATTTGCTTGGATCAATTTAAGGCAGGCGAGACGGTAACTCACTTGCCTTGCGCCCATCGGTTCCATTCCGATTGCGTGTGTCCGTGGTTAGAAGACAATGCACAATGCCCTTGTTGTAGAAGAACAGTTTTAGGTTCTAACTGAATGATCATTTTGTAAGTACAAAAGTTCAAATTTGATGTTTCAAAACATCACGTGTGTCATAAATGATGAGAGGATAATAGGGTGGGCTAAATAGTAAATACCTCCCGAGTATTGCTAACGCACGTTTATCTAATAATTTCCTTTTCATATACATCAATATTAAGAGTTACTTTTTACATTTTCAATGCAAAATTTGTCATGTATCTAAAACTAGTAGGGGTTTTTACATTTTCAATGTATAATTTGACATGAATCTGTTATAAATAGAGGTGCATATAGCAGTAACCAGATATATTTTAGAAAAAAAGTTTTGGACTAACCGTTTAAATAAGGCAAACAACAAGGAGAAAAAGACGAGAACTATTGTTTTTACCTTTTATGCTCTTTTGTTTTTGCGGGATAAATCTTGGGTTGAACCAATTCTTAGTAAATGTCATATCAAAAATTTGCAAAAATACTCTAATAGGGCAGTTTACCAAACGTTTACTTAGGTAAGCGCTTACCAAGTAACATTACCTCGCTGTATAAATATGGTAAAGACCAAGAATCTTACCCGGTAAGAGCGAGACAAGGACCAAGAGTCTTATCCGGTAAGTGAGTGCGACGACTCTTACCACGGTAAGCGCTTACCGGGTAAATTGTTGCATATGATGTCGTTTTAGTGAAGTAAAATCTTACCCGGTAAGTAAATAATAGTGTTAAGTTTTACTGGTAAACACTTACCGGATAAGTGTTTGGTAAACGGCCCCTAAGTTAGTTAAGATTATAGGATAGCATGTAATAGCATCTTCAGTTGTAAATAAAGATTTTGAAGATTTAACAATTTTTTTTATTCTAACAGTTATACTAAAATAAAGGGAAAAAAAGAACGTGAGAAGTTTTTAAAATGCTATGTAAGACAGGGAAATAACATTTTAATTATTTCTCACCAATAAAAAAATATTTTAAGAAATGTTTATAACAGAGAAATAATATTTTAATAGTTCAGTTAATGCTAGAATTGTTAAAATAGAGTATTTGTTGAAGTTGGATGTAATTTTTTTTAGAGATTTTAACTTTTAATATTTCTATTTTAGAATATTAAAATAGCATAACCGTTGGATTTACGGTGGTTGTTAATTATCCAGATAGGAAACCACATGCTCTTTTAACAAGATCTCTTTAAATTATTCGTACCTTGAAAATGATTGAAGACAAAATTGAAATTGGCAGATCTGGAGGGATTCTAATGTCTTAACTGTTAAGCAACTTATGGGAGAAGAGGGCTTCCTTGCAGTCATAGGAAATTGGAAAGGTGTGGATGGCATTTTAAATATTTACAGAAGGCATGATGTTACGGAACTGTATCAGCAACATTTTGGGTTCATTGAACGTTACATGGTGTTTGTTTGGTGACTTCAATGAAGTTAGGGGGATGCAGAGAGGTTTAATTCACAACTAAATTTGAAAGCCTCGTCAGGCTGTAACGATTTTATCATAAAGGAACACCTAATTGATATTCCGCTTGAGGAAGAACCTGGTCGAGATTTGGAGCCCACTCAATGAGAAGTTTAGAAGCAAGTTATCGTCTTGGAAATATAAACCGATATCTTTTGGCGGAAGATTAACGCTAGTCAAATATGTTCTCAGAAGTCTGTCTCCATACTACATTCTCCCTCTTTCGTGCCCTAGTTCAAGTTTCTACATATTCTTGAGAGTGTGAGGAGAAATTTCTGTTAGGGAGGGTCTAATGGTAATTTAAAACAAGCTTGGGTTAATTGGGACAATACCTTAAACAATTTTGATTTGGGGGGCTTGCATGAGTCTTCTTGGGAATTGGTGGTGGCGTTTTAGGATAGAATAGAACGTTTATGCGTCAAGATATTGAAGAGTCTTTATAATGTGGATGTGGGATCAGTGATTCAAATTTCAAGGGGAGAGGTTTTTTCAAAGCTTTTGTTTATCTTAGGGAGTTGGGGGAAACGTTATTTGAGTAAGAAGGGATCTTAAGAAGCTTGGGATCAATCTTAGAGGGTCGTTTGACAAAGTGATATGAAATGCCATTTCGACTTCGTTCTAGAAGGAGTGGTTAAGGAACTTCAATTTGTGCAAAAAATTCGCAAGATTGTTTAGTCTTGGGAGGGACAAGGATGTTGTGGAGGGACAAAATGGAGTGGCGAGGTAACGGATGGTCTTGGTTGTAGGGTTGGCGAGAGTGTGTTATTTAAGTGGAGTGGAGGAACTTGAGGATTTATTTCTTAATATTATCCAATCTAGGAATGAGAGAGACAAATGGGTATGGTTATCCGATGATGATGGGGTGTTCTCGGTCAAGGGACTCAAAGAATTGTTGGATAAGAATCTCATCAGGTCTTCATCTCATGGTGTGGTGTTTAAAGTGAGGTCGACTTCTAGTTTGATAGGTGCTTGATAAGCTCTGTCTAGACATTCATTCCTCTTTATGACCCTGATCTGGAGAAGGAATCGAAACAATTGATCATTGTTTCGTTATTTGCATGAAGAGTTTGGACGTGTAGACAAAAATGTTCAGGTGGTGGGGTTTCACTTCACTCAACGTTAGTTCTATAGCGGATGTTTTTTTTGTTTGAAAGACCTTTCCTTAGGCTCTAATTTTCAAAAGGGATAGGGGTGCTTTGGATTACAATGTACGTGATTTGGACGTAATGTAACAAAGTGGTTTTCTCAGATCAGATTCCTTTACAGACTGACATGGCTTTCGATATTCAACTTCTTTCCTTTCAATGGTTATTTAATCATGAAAAAAAGTTTCATATTTCTTGGGTGAATTGGTGTTTCAGTCCAAGTGGTTCTCTAGGTGGTTAATTGTAACACCCCCTAATTTCGTTGTCGCTATTAAAATATAAATTTTAGAAAAAGGTTAGTGAACAACCAAGAATACGCTCAGGGAAAAACAGTGAGAAAAAATGGTCTAGAAATGGTCAGAAAACGACCATGGAGTAACCAAAAAAACAATCGAAGAACGACTAGAGGATGGCGTGGGAACATGGCACAATACAATGTCGGGAATATGGCACAACACAGCTTGGGAACGTGGTACGACACGACGTAAGAACGTGACATAACACGACGTGGGGATGTGGCATGACGACGTGGAACATGGTTTGGGCGACTTGGCCTGCAACCTAAGTCGCGGACAAGGTCGTGTGACCTTCTATTTGATGCATAAAAGCTCTTGCGGGCAAGGTTGCATAGGCCTTCTGGACGCATAAAACTTCGATTTTTAGGGGTTTTTTTCATTTGACCATAACTTCTTCGTTTCTCATCCGAGTTCGACGATTCTTGACGCTAGAAACTCTTTTTCGTATCTTTTTAAGGGGAAATAGAGGAGGATTAAAGTTTCCTTGATGACTTAAGGTTCCTAGAATTGGAAAAATAAGATCTAAATCTTTATTTCTCGAACTAGGGTTTGGTCATTTTGCATCTCCAATCTCCTTACCGTCTTTGTGGTGTTTTGCTAGATCTTGGGAATAAGTGTTACTGAGAGTTTACATATTAGATTTGGGTGTCTATCTTGAAGATCTCAAGTTTTCAATAAAGGAAGTTCAAGTTTTACGGTAAAAAACTAGATTTAGCAAAAATCTAGCAAGGTGAGTTCTAATTGTTTTGCAAAACGATATACATGTCAAGATATCTTTATTTTGTGTTTTGAATACACATCCTTGAGTTTATTCCACTTTTGATGAGTTTTGTGAATATTTTTACTTTTGCGCATAATTGAGTTATGAAATCTTAAAAGATTGTTTATGATGTTTTATTAGGTGTTTTCAAACACCAATAGATATCTGTTTCATCACATGTGATATTTTTGTGTGATAACTGGATCTTGGTTATTACCTAAGGTAAATATAATGTGATTATTTGTTATGTGTTTACCTGACAGCATGATAAATTGTTATATTTAATCATGCTAATATGTGAAAATATGTATAATGTAGATGCATGAATAAGATTATGTGTATATGTGGATGCACATGTATGTATGATATATATATATATATATATATATATATATATATATATATGGGCCTATTTAAGGGAGAACTGAGTTGTTTGTGGTAACTGTGAGAACCAATCTCAACCAATCATTTTAACATATTAATTATACAATTAAAATCAAATTAAAAGGGTATGTTAGTCAATTC